AGGTCCTATGTGGCAAAGATCTAACATTAGCTCTTAAAGTACGCCTAACAAAATGTTACGTATACAGTGTACTATATTATGGAGTGGAATCATGGACGTTAAATCTAGATACCATGAGACGACTTAAGGCCTTTGAAATGTCTACCTATAGAAGAATTATGAGGGTTTCCTGGGTAGATAGAGTTACAAACAATGAAATACTGAGAAGAATAGGCAAAGAGAAGGAAATTGAACTTACAATTAAAGAAAGAAAGCTACAGTATCTCGGACATGTGATGCGGGGCGATAAGTATGGCATCCTGCGACTCATAATGCAAGGAAAAATAGATGGCAGAAGAAGCATCGGAAGAATACGAATTTCATGGCTGAAGAACCTGAGAGAATGGTTTGGATGCAGCTCAAAACAACTATTTAGAGCTACTGCCTCAAAAATTAAGATAGCTGTGATGATTGCCAACCTCCGTAGCGGAGATGGCACCTGAAGAAGAAGAACATTTAATGTACGATGCGGTGGTGCTCCGTCATGTTGAAACCACATGTTTCATCTAATTTCCAAGAGAATATACTCTAACAAGTTGTTAAAAACCTACGATACTCATTGCCAGTGACAGTTCGGTCGAAGAAGTAAGTTCCAATGACGTATATATGACTCGAAGTAGATGAAGATTTTCATCGGAGTAATAATGAGAATTATTTCTACTAACGAACCCACTGGGATGAAATGTCGATTCGTCAGAAAATAAAACATTTTCCAAAAAATTTACACTTCGACTTCAATATTTCTTCCGCCCACATACAAAAATGTTTTCTTCTTTGAAAATAGTTTTCACTCAATTCCTGATGTAACTTAAGTGGGTGAAATTTGTTTTTATTTATAATTCTTGGAAATGTAACTTAACTTTCTATTGTTGCTCAATTGGCTTGTACTTATTTGTGGATTCTCTATTAGATGTACGATAACTCGAAATTATTTTTGTTATCTAAAACCCTTGTCGGTATTAATGGTTTTAAATACTGTATATTGTCCGAAGGGACAAATTTTTCGAAGGTTCTTTTCGAAGAATGTCTTCTGTGCGGATATCTCCGACTATACACTTTTGCAGCTAGTAAACCGTTTCTAAAACTGAAGATAAAGACATTCTCCCAACAAATGTCAAGTAAACCAATTCTTCAGTTGAAAAATTCATATTGAAAGTTGAAGACCCCAACAATTATAGAGGTATAAATCTACCGATTTATACTGTCGAATCTACCGACAGTCTTTAATAGAATGCGCAAACTCTTTTGCAATCGTGATATCAATATAAAGTTACGAATACGAATGCTGCGGTGTTATGTCTTTTCTACCCTGTTATATGGAGTTGAGGCACTAAAACAGTTGACCATAAAAAACGTCGAAGCTTTCGAGATGTGGTGCTATAGGCGCATTCTCAGAATATCATGGACGGACTGCGTCACTAACACGCAAGTACTCCAAACTTTAGACAAAAGATGCGAAATTCTAAATGAGATAAAAACTAGAAAGATGGAATACTTAAGGCACATTGTGAGAGGTGAAAAGTGCGAACTTTTAAGAAACATCATGCAGGGCAAAATTAAGGGCAAAAGAAGTGTGGGAAGAAGAAAAATATCGTGGCTTCGTAATCTACGTGAATGGTTCGGGTGTAGTTCGATTGAACACCGCACTTAAGCTTACCACAAAAGTCCTAACCAACAAAATCAATAAACTACCAACTTTATTAGATGAACAACACGGATTCAGATCTGGAAGATCCTGCGTAGACGCCGTATTTGTACCAAGACAATCATCGAGTACAATAAACTAGCATATCTATGTTTTATGGACCTGACAAAGGCTTTCGATCGCATCCAAGTAGAAGACGTCTTAAACATACTGTATAAAAGAAACATACCAATCAATATAATACAAACAATCGAAAACATCTACTTCCATAATCGAATATACCCAAAGATAATTGGAAAACTAACACAGTTTACATCAGTACAAAGCGGAGTCAGACAGGGTGACTCGTTATGCCCACTTCTCTTTAATATAATAATGGACAAAATAATACCAGCAGTATGTAAAGGTCATGGCTACAGAATGGGAAACAAAGAAATCCAAATATTATGTTATGCAGACGACACCAGATTAATCCCCAAATATTAACACACATCTACAACACAACAGCCAAGAAATACAGTATGATAATATCAGCAGAAAAAACCATATAACATCTAAATACCCTTCTTCTTCTTCTTCATCTAAGAAGGTTGGCAACCATTATGGCAATTCGCACTTTCGACACCGCTGCTCTAAAGAGGTCAGCAGAAGTGCAGTTAAACCAAGCTCTCAAATTATTCAACCAGGAGATGCGTCTTCTTCCGCGACTCCTTCTACCCTGTATTCTTCCTTGCATTATTAATTGCAACAAGTTATAACGCTCGCCCCTCATAACATGTCGCAGATATTGCAGTTTTCTGACTTTAACTGTATTAATAATATATATATATATATATATAATATATATATATATATATATATATATATATATATATATATATATAGAGTACAGGTTGTTTACAACTGTTGTTGTTTTCCTGTCCCTAGTTTCCATCGTTTCCTATCTCGGGTGTCGGCTTCATTTAGCTGTCTTCCTTCCATGGCTTCATTTACGTCATCTCGCCAGCTTCTTCTTGGACGCCCTCTTTTCCTTCTTTCGGTTGGGATCCATTTTAATATTTTCTTTGGCCACCTCTCGTCTGCCATTCTGTTTACATGACCGAACCAAGTTAGTTGTTTTTTCTGGACTTCATCTATAATGTCTTTTTCTTGCTCCATTCTACGTTTTATTTCTTCATTGCGGATTCTGTCCATCCTTGTCAATCTACAGCTTCTTCCATAAAATCCATCTCGGTAGCTTGTAATTTTTTCCTGTTTCTTTTACTAGTGTCCCATATCTCTGCTCCGTATGTTACCACCGGCTCAACCATCGTCTTATATATTCGTTTTTTCGTCGTTCTTGTGATTTTTTATCCCAGAGAATGGAGTTTAGGCATTTGGTAATGTTTCTGCCTTTATTTATTCTTGTATTTATTTCTTCATGGCTATTTCCGTCTTTTGTAAACACTACTCCTAGGTATTTTACTCTATTTGTTCCTTTGATTTTGTCACTATCCAATGTCAGGTCTTCGACTGTATTTTTCCCCACTGAGAGATATTCGCATTTTTGTAAGTTCATTGTCAGTCCACATTCTTCGTACGCTGTTTGTAGTTTCCTAACCATATAGCTGAGATCGTCTATATCTTCTGCTACCACCAGTTGGTCATCAGCGAAGAATAGTGTATAGAGAATATCCTCGTCTATTTGTATTCCCATATTTCTGCATTGTCTTTGCCACTTTTGTAGAGATCGATCCAGATATATTTTAAACAGCGTAGGTGATAAACAACATCCCTGTCGTAGCCCTTTCGTAGTGTTGAATTTCTCACTAAGTTTGCCGCCTATTTTAATCGATGCGGTGTTGTTTACATACCACTTTTGAGTTGCTATTATTAACGAAGGTTTTATTTCCATGTTTTGCAATTTCACTCCATAAATTATTTATCGGCACGTTATCATATGCCTTTTCAAGATCTATCAGGGCTATATGTGTTTCGTTGTTGTCGCTTTTCGATTAATATTTTAAGTGTAAATAGATTATCTATAGTCAATCTTCCAGCTCTGAATCCGCATTGTTCTTCTGGTTGTTTCATACGAATGTCTTCTTCTATGAGGTTTCTATATTGTATTAATAATAAACATCTAAATACCCACTACGATGTAAAATCAAAATTGATGGGAAAATAATAAAGCAAGAATCACGATTTAGATATCTGGGAATAGATATAACTAGTTACGGAGATGCTCAAGAAGAAGTACGAAGACAAAGCTTAAAAGCAAGTAAAGCGGCGGGATCACATGATGACACAATCTGGAAGAAGAAACACCTAAGACAAGATATAAAAACAAGAATCTATAAAGCAGCAATTAGACATATATTAACATACACGGTCGAGACAAGACTTGACACATCTAAAACCAGACGACTACTAGAAACAACAGAAGAAAATACTGCGGCGCGTATCAGGGAAAAGTCTGTTGGATAGTGAGACAAGCGAAAACATAAGAAGAACATGCAATATAGAAGACATAGATAAATGTATGGGTGACAAAACGGAAACAGGAGTGGAACGAACACATTAGTAGAATGGCAGAGGGTAGGATAGTACGAATAGCACGAGATAAGTCACCAAATGGGCGAAGAAGTATTGGCAAACCAAGGAAAAGATGGTGCGATAATTTAATCAATTTAGGAGGCTAATATTGAAAAAGAAACAGGCTTTAACGCCTACATACAAGAGGGAAGAAAAATAAGTAAACAAGCGATGAATACAAATCGAGAAGCCATGAATTGCTTTACTCTGCAAGAACGCTGATTAATTATTACCGTTTTTTACGCAAAAATTGTCGCATTTCTTGGCTCAGAGTGAATTTCATATTTAAAATATAAAAATATGTTATAAAAATGAAACTACAAAAATATTGGTAGCTTTTGGTAGTCCAGTTGGTGTGACATTATAGTGCACTTTCGAATGGGGCTATCGAGAAGATTAACTTACAACATTGTTTGTACATTTAAATGATACAAGGTTTAGGAAAATGTACACATTTTCACAACTAGCATGGTCCGTTAACTTGAACAACTTGAATCTGCACACTAAACCGTTTATTCTATAGAATGTTTAGATAATTTTACATCACGTAAACAAAAACACCTTTCCAATGTGACCTACCATTAAAAGGTTTATGGTAAATTACACGTAATTCGATCTAAATTTTCACGTGAAAACACGTTGGCTAGGTCAACATGGTCAACCAAGATCAGTATTATATTCCATAATATTATCACATATTGACATTCCATATTGACACTAAGGTGTTTAGGATAACACTTACCTGTGCTTGCTGATGCCTCATCTGTTGTTGTTGCTGCTGATGCAGCTGCTGCGTTAAACTCTGAGGAGGCATATAAGGCGCATGGTGCAGTGGCATACCCGCCGTTGGAGGAGGTGGCATCTGATTGGGCATGTAGATGTACTGCTGTTCGTGCGGTTGAAGGGTTTTGTTGATGTTCGGAGCTCCCATGTCGTAGAGAGGGGCCATCGCGGCCGCGGCGGCAGCACCGGCACTGCCCATGTACGAGATACTGTTCGGAGGAGTGGCCACCTTGTTGTTCACCACGGTTGGGTATTTCCATTTTTGATCATGTTGATTCTAAAAGAAAATATGATTAATTTATTTCTTCGATACCTTTTTCAAGGGATTGCACTAACTATTTAAGGAGTATGGGTATTCGCGGCCAGTGTTTTGTAACGCCTCCTTAGGTGAGTGAGTAAAAGCAATGGTCTGGAAATGTTTCTTCCTGCCGTTTTATCTGCACCTGCGCCAAACATCATAAAAGGCGATGAACACTGGTACCTACTGATAGCAACGGTGATGATATCTGTGAGTAACAGATAAACCCCGATAACTGTGTACAGTTAAAACTACTCAATATTTGGCATCGCATTTTTTCAAAAGACATAATTTTACTAAAATTGGTTAATATGTAGGTCTAAAGTTTAAAAGTACCATCACTTTTACGATTGTAGCCAAAATAGTGAATTTGTTTTAATGTTTTTGGAGAATTTTATTTATTATAAAACAAGTAATGTTGTTTTCTTCTCCGTACAGTTGAGATATTAGAAAAGACAAGGCCATAATAATGAAAAGATCTTCATCAATGTAATAAAAATACCAATGTAATGAGAATATCTTGGATAATCAGAGGACCAAGATATGAGTTGAGAAACTCTCCTTGTTGAGAAATTTGCGACAGTGGATACGTTTAACAGCAAACCAAATGCTACACTTGGCCAAGACCGTCATCAATATAAGAATATTATAAGCATGATGATCGCTGAAGTTCCTAGGAACAAGCCACCTTAAGAACAAACAGAACTTAATTTTGAAAGCGTCAAATTTTATTCTGTGTTATAGAAAATATTATATATATCACAAATTTAAAAAAAAAATAAAAAGAACGATCCTATGTTTATAAACAATAGAATATTTTCAGATGAAGTTACATGTTCTCTTATTGGCATTGTGAACATTGTGAACAGACAGACATTGAAGGTATTGGGCGCCAGAAAATCCTCGCTGGATGAGAGAACACTGTACACCGTATACCCAAAAAGTAAATGTATGGACAGGAATTGTCAAAGAGAGAATTTGAAAGCTGAATTTTTTAGTTGGTAATTTAACAGACCCGATATGATTATTTACAAAATGAACTTTGCAGCACACTTCAAAATAATCATTGACCAAACATACCTGATAGTCATTTATGGTTCCAACAAGACCAAGGCTCCAGCGCATTATGCACTGTAAGTGCGCCAATATTTAAAGTATTTGTTTATCGTGGATATGACGAAGGGAACCGATAAAATTGCCACAAGATCACCTGATCTCACGCACTTAAGACTTTTTTCTGTTGGGCTACATTCAAATTAAAATGTATGTTAACAAACAAGAAACAATTAGAAATGTAGCAAATGAATTCAAAAGTAAATTAAAATATTGTCTTTGATAATATAAAAGGCAAATATAGAGCACAGTATTAATTTAATCTTGCCCAAGTACTTTCGATCCCTAGATCATCTTCAGGGGCATCTGAAATAAGCCAAGAAACGTTTTTTTAACTAAAGAAATTAATTAACTTCGATAAAAACTCGAAGTTTATGGTTGATAAAAGTGATGATTGTGATGCCTCTTATGTAGGTAGAACCATTAGAAAGTTATCCACTAGAGTTTCTGAACATTTGAAAAGACCAAACTCTTCAAGTTTTGGTCAACACTTATTATCCAGCAAACACAATTTTAACATCAATTCTGGTTCATCTATCTTACATGACATTAGTAGAAAGAAAAACTATCTGGAGTTGGATTTATTGGAAGATTTGGAGATTACAAGGGAAACAAATGAAAACTCTCACTGTCTTAATACACAAATTAATTTAAATTGTACTACTTAAATTTAAAACTATTTTTAAAAACTTAAAGCTTCACCTCGTAGAAGACCCAGCTCTGCTGTTTAGACTTCCTGCACTGAGTATATCCATATTCATTTTATAGTTCTACCATTGACTGTGGATTCAACTGAACTACTTGGATTATAACCCATTTATATTTTGCTTTCAATTTTGATTTTTAATTTTTATTATTTTAATTGCATAGTCAGATTTCTTCTTTTCTACAGTACTGATAGTGCTTGGTAAACCATTTTATTGTAGTCAACTACCCAGTATCTAATATATTGTTTAGTCTATTTCTTGAATTCATACTTTATGTCGACTTTCATAATCAATCAGCCAATCGCGTCCACTGCTGGACGTAGGCCTCCCTCAGTTCTTTCCAGTGTTCTCTACACTGGGCCGCTTGTAGCCAGTTTCCCGCTACACGTTTAATGTCATCGGTCCATCTAGTCGGTGGTCGTCCTCGGCTTCTTTTATAATTTCTGGACCTCCATTCCATAATGCGTCTTGTCCACCGTCCATCTTGTGTTCTGGCTAAGTGCCCTGCCCAGTTCCACTTAAGCGTCGTGGTTCTTTCGATGACGTCTTGAACTCCTGATCTTCGCCTGATTTGTTGGTTTGTTATGTGGTCTCGAAGGCTCACGTTCAGCATTGCACGTTCCATGGCTCGTTGTGTAACTCTAAGTTTATTCGCAGATTTTTGCGTGAGTGTTAAAGTCTCTGCTCCATAAGTTTGTACAGGTAAAACACATTGGTTATAAACCTTTCGCTTGAGACACATGGGAATTGAACTTTTTAGAATATGGCTTAATTTGCCAAATGCTGCCCATGTTAGACCTATTCGCCTCTGTATTTCATGTGTTTGATTGTCTCTGCTTATTTTGATTTCGTGTCCCAGATATTTGTAAGTGTCTGTTTGTTGTATGGTATTATTGTCAATAGTTATATTTCCACTCATTACGAGATTTGTTATAATTTTAGTTTTCTCAAAGTTTATCTTTAATCCTGCTCTTTCAGACAGACTTTTAAGCGAATGCATCATAGTAACTGTATCATGTAAGTTTTCTGCGATTAATACAACATCATCTGCAAACCTTAGATGATTTAATCTTTCTCCATCTATATTGATGCCCATATCTTGCCATTGAGTACCCTTAAATATTGACTCTACAGCTGCCGTGAACAATTTTGGTGAAATATTGTCTCCTTGTCTAACTCCTCGACCTAAGCTGAATTTTTCTGTGTCTTCGTGCAGTCGTATACTTGATGTAGCGTTCTGATAGATGTTTTTGATTAGTGTCGTGTACCTGTAATCTATTCGGCTTTAATTTAGGGCTTCCAGTATTGTTTCAAACTCTACAGAATCAAAAGCCTTCTCGTAATCGACAAATGCAAGAACCAGTGGTATGTTGTACTCGATGCACTTTTCTATTAAGATCTTTATGGTATGCAAATGGTCATTTGTGCCATATCCTGCCCTGAAGCCTGCCTGTTCTTTGGGCTGATAGAAATCAAGTTTAGGTGTTAGCCTCTTTGTTAAGATTTTCATAAAGAGTTTGTACATATTATGTGTCAAGAGGCTGATGGGTCTATAATTTTCTAATTTAGTAATATCGCCTTTTTTGTGTAACAAGACTATTACTGCATTGTTCCAGTCTTTTGGAATCGTACCCGCATGTAAGCATTTAGTAAACAGTTCGCTTACTGATTTTAATAAAATTTCTCCACCTGCTTTTATTGCCTCGATAACGAGTCCATCATCACCAGGCGATCGATGGTTCTTCATTTCCTTTAAAGCTGCTCTTACTTCTGACACAGTAATGGGTAAAAGTATTTCCGATCCCTGATTTATGAGAGTCTTTACTCGTGTCAGGAAATTGTCTTGTGGTCTTTGGCTGGTATAGAGGTCTTTATAAAATTCTCTAGTTATTTTCAGAATGTTTTGTTTATCTGTTGTTGCCTTTCCGTCTTTATCTCTCAGATTGTATATTTCTTTTTTACTTTGCGTAAGTTTTCTTTTCATTATCTTTAAACCTTTGTTCTCTTCTACTGTTTGAGTAATGTCGACTTTAGTTGCCGTCAAATTAACACCCTAATTATTATAGACAGGTTTGAGTGTGGGATCTGAATTATTCAATCTACTTAAAAAATATTCTGTATAATTTATATTTCATCAGTTGATTTCCTATTGTAGTGTCAGTTGGACCTTTGGTCAATACTTAGTTTCATAGAATTTTGAAAGGTGCAGATCACATATCTATGATTGTAACTGCTCACCCAAGCTGTCATTTGTCACATGTCACCTCAACATTTCCTTTAGACCGTCAGCCATTCTGTCTCCGGCCTCTATAGACAATGTAGCTTCGCCTATTTTCAAAATTTTAAAGTGTTTGTTGTGTAGTGTATTGTAATGTTCCATTTTATGTTTATGACATTTTACTCTTATCGGATCGGCCGCAATTGACGAAGTAAGTCTATAAACGTTAATCACATAAAAACTTTTATCTGTTTTTATGCGTTCTGCCGGATCGGTCCAGTAGCTTTTGTAAAATTCTAATTGTATTTTTTTAACGATTTTATAGGGGCATAAGCAATTAGACGCTTCTTATTTTAAATTTAAACAAAACAGGTATCATCGAAAAGTGAGGTATCATCGAAATTTTTTATTACTTCGAAAAGCCTCTCTAGGCCATTACTTATGTATGGAATATATAGTAAAATAGGAGAAGCGCGTCGCGAACTTTGTACGTCAAAGTTTGGAAGTCCTTATTGGAAGACCCTCTATAAAAGAGGCCGTTTTCAAATTGCCATCCTGAAGGTTAGGCAACGAATAAAACATTAATTTTGATTTCAAGAAAGCTAAGATTTTTTTTAAACGTAGGTATCAACAACTATTATTTCCTAAAAAATAATTTTTTTGGATTAAAACAATTAAGTAACTTTATACGTCTTTGTTTAAAATAAAGAGCAAGTAAGTACTTATAAAACATTAAGAGTTGAAATTTTGGCAGTTTCTAAGTAGAGTATCGATCTTTACATCCTACAAATTTGAATTAAGTTTGAGCATAATTAACAATTTCGGAGTTTGTCAAAGTAAGGGTACGCTGTCGAAGCTCACGATAGAGTTGCGGTGGATGAAACTTACTCTCAACCAGGAAAACACCGAGAAGTTATCCTCGAAATGGTGCAAACTTGAGA